CGCACTGTCACACCAGGAGTGATTTTATAAGAAGCATTCCTCCTGTGTATAAGCAAAGGAAGAATGCCTTGCTAAAACAGTCTGTGGTCAGAATATCCAGCTCTGTTCTTTGTCCCAATACGGAGAGAGGTCAAACTAACAAGAAGGCATGACAGGCTTTTCTCCATGGCATCACCTAGATGATGCAAATTGCTTTCCTAAGAAGGTGAGCTCAGCCCCACATTATTTAATTTTAGATGAGCAGGGAAGACATTTGTTTCATTTGGTTTTTCATGCTTTTAAATATGGTAAATTCTACTTTCTTACAGTTTCATTCTATATGTGCTGTCAATTTTAGCTTGCATTTTGTTTTAATATTTTTCTTTTTGTGCTCCACCTCAGAGAGGCAAATATTTTAATAAGTTAGTATGGTCCTAGCTCTATGAAGCTTCTATAAGCACTTGCATTAAACATGCAGATTTAAACTCTTCTGTCCATTTGGTGGCAACTTTTCAGTTGATTAACTTATGTTAATTTAAGTATTGCTACCCAATAGCCAAAACTCTCTGGGCAGTTCTGAACGATGAAAATCATAAAATACAACATTAAGTAAATTATAAGTACATTAAGTATGTTACAGTGTAAAGAACTAGAATAAGAAACAGACTTAAAACCAGGAAGTGAAATGCTAAAATCTGAGAGCCAGTGTGGTATAGTGGTTAAGCACACAGGACTGGGCCTCAGGCAATCTGGGTTCTAGTCTCCCTCAGCCGTGAACTGGGTGACTTTGGGCCAATCACAGACTTGCAGCCCAAGCTACCTTACAGGGTTGTTGTTGTCGGGATAAGACTAAGAGCAGCAGGAGAATGGTGTAAGTTGCTTTGAGTTCTTTAAAAAGCAAAAAAAAGTGGGATATAAACCAATAAATAAATAAATATGCCTGGAAAAATTAAAAGGAGATCACTTGGCACTAGAAAGAATGTGCTGTAGCTGCCAGGTGAACCTGTCAGGGTTACTCATTCCACAAATGAGGTGCCAGAGTAGGAAATACCTTTTTTCTCTGTAGTCACCCATCCCATTTCCTTTGGTGGCAGCTCCTGGAGAAGGTTAGGGTTAGGATATCAAGCTTTGGGCAAAAATGTATGGAAAGAATCAGTCCTTCAAGTAATGTGGCCCAAGCCATTTAACATATTGAAAGTTAATACCAGCACTTTGAATCAGGCCTGGAAATGAATTGATAGCCAGGGCAGAAAGGAAAGTACTGGCCTAATACAATCACATTTCTTTAGACCCCATTAACAATCCTATTGTCCTATTTTTAAGCAATATTAAATATAGAATCGCTAGTTATGACTACCCCATATTGTTTCTTCCTAGCATCTAGTAACCAGAAGTATACTGCTTCTGAACAGTGAGGTTCATATATAAAAGAACTCTGTCCAAACATGTCCAAAAATTCTTGAGTCAATCAGGAGCTAAGGATACCTGCACACAGTTGAAGAGTTTTATGATTGGGAACTTTTTATCTTCAGATGTGAATGTGTCTATGCAAAGGTCAACAATGCAACTAGAAATACTCAAACTGTACCTGTATTACCTGCTCTGAGCAAGTTATGATCTCCCTGTACAGAGGCAGTAAAAGAGGGCAGTTGGCTAAATACTTTGCTTCTGACTTCTGTTCCAGATACAACACTTTACATTTGATAGATTAGACCAAGACAGTTTATGTTCTTGCATTTTTCTGTACATAGTAATTGTACATTGGTGTTTCTGGATTATAGAATATTGGAAATCTGTAATGTGCACATAATATTGACTAGTTCACATGACATGACAGTTCATTGTGGATGAGAGGCCATAGTGGGTTGCCCTGAGGTGCAAACTTTGAACATTCCCCAAAGGGTGACTTGTTCATGGCCAAAAAGCCACCCTGAAAACACACGTTTTGTACCTGGGTTTGCTGAATCCATACTGAGTTGTGTCATCCAAACCTGGGCAACTGACCCTATTATAGGTACCAAGAATCACCTAGGTTGCTGCTTAGCAAAAACCGGCAAGCTTACTCAAGCTTTCCCAGGCTACTGCCAACCACCCCTCCAGTGCCCAAGTGGTACTTAGGGGTGGTGGCACTGGCTGGGTGTTCCCTGCTGTGATTTTGAGCCCCTTTGCTTCACTGTTGCTGTTTTTCTCCCTTTACCCTTTTTTGCCAGAGACTGTAATTCCCAGACTGACAGCTGGTATTCGCAACCTCATTTTTACAGCCACTGACAGCCCCATCCAAGTACCCAAGCAGCATACTGGGGTGGCTGTCACTGACTGGCAAACAGACGAAAAGGTTGGCTAGATTTGCGCAACTGCGCAGGTACGCTGTTTCATGACTGCAAAACTCGAGAGCCTCAGCTGGGCGATGTACAGAGGGGTACCTGCTGTCAAAGTGCACCTGGAGGATCCCAATAGTATTTTTCTTTCCTTAACTGCTGTCAAATTGCACAGTTGAGGCAAAACAAGAAGGATCTTTGCTTGAGAAAAGGGGGTGTTGAGACTTATATCCCCCTTTCAGTAAGATCATTTCTTCTTTTTTTTAAATCCTTATTGTCCTCAAGGTATGGCACATCTAGAATTTCTCCACTCAAACCCCAAGATTCTAACTGCTTGGGAAAGTGCAAAAGGCATCCCATTCCCTTTTCAAGGGGGAAGGAGTCCTGTATAAAATGGGGATTTGACAGGGAAATAAGTGGGGCTTTTTTTTACAGGGACACACAACCATATGCCACAGAAAAACACCCATTGCTCCATTAGAAAGGGTGCTGTGAATGAAAAAAGGCCTGCAGTTGGGGAAGGAAAGAGCAGGCAAATTGGTCCTCCCATAGAGTACCCTTGGAAGGACCAAGGGAGAATGAACAGGAGGAAAAAGCAGAACCCAGGGAAACATCTGATCATTTGTTGGCTGCATCATGCATTGTTTGCACAATAACTAGGCCACTGCAGCTTACTGCCAAGGTGGGTAAGCATGACGTACAAACACACCCCTTGCTTTAGCCATGCTTACTCATTGAACACACTAAGTTCAATGAGACCTACTTCCTAGCACGCATACTTCATAAGCATGCAGCCCTGTCCACATTTTAAAAATTAACTACCATAAGAAGCGAATAGATGTATTAGGTCATATGCTTTTGTGGGCAACAGCCCAATTAGGAGAGGGGCTGCAGCTCAGTGCTAAAGCATGTGCTTTGCACGCAGAAAGATCCAGGTTTAATTCCAGGTATCTCCAGTGGGAAGGTTAGGTGGCAGGAAGGGAAAGCCCCTTGCTTTAGTCTCTGAACAGCTCCTGCCTATTAGAAGGAACGTTCATACTAGGCATTTAGCACTGAATTTCCTACCTTCATATCTTCATTGTACCACACAATGATACCATCTAGTCATTGTCCCCCTTTATTTTTCCTGTGGTTCTAATGTCTTTTTTCATATTGTGCGAAGTTTTACTTTTCCCCAAGAAGAATGGAGGTGCAGCACAATCTTCACAGATGCAAGAGCTCTTACTACTAAGCTACTCTTCTGTCTTTTTAAGTTGACAAGAGTTTGATGCTGGCAATGAGGTATCAGACAGGGGAATCTCTCATAACAGCACATGCTCACTATAATCTGTGAGTTAGATGTCATTTTATCACACTGTTTAACCTTAAATGAAAGAATGTTATATGCTAATTCTATACATGCACATGCATAGTTATAAGATTCCTTGTCATGGAAATTGTAGACACTCTGCATCCTTTTCAAAATGCACTTTAAGTAGCATTGTATTCTTAAAAAAATAGGTTGGAAAACATCTTAGTGCAAATGTGTGACTAATTACATAAAACTTAATAGGGTGATAAAATAGCTCCCATTGTAAAGCTTATACAGAATGTGCTCTGAGCTCAGGTGAATTGGAAAAACAATGCCCCACCCACTGGGATAGACAGAGCACAGTGGGATGACCACACAGAACAGCAGCAATATCCCTGATGGTGTGGGGAAATTATTGTTTTCCTAATAGTGTACAGTTAGAAGAAAGTGCTTAATAGCACCGGAAACTATCCATCTGGAAGCAAGTAATGTAGACAATGCAGTTCTGGGTGGTCAATTAGTCTAGTATAAGACAAGTTATTTTGTTCATCTTAGATGTGTCAAGTGTTACCCTCAGCTGGCCCAGACCTAAAGGATGGAGGAAAACATCTTTGTGAAGATCGTAAAATGCAAAAGTTACGGCCTACAATATTTCTGTGCAAAACTAACATATACATGTATACATAATGTATATATAATGTATATGCAGTGACCACAGTGACCATTCCCAACAGTCAGACTATACAAACTTGTCTATAGAATGCAAGAAGTATAGTCTATTTGGCTGAGCTGTTTGTGTTTTGCCCTAAACCTGGCCCAACGTGCAGAGAAGCCTTTATTCCTTTGATAAAGTGGGATGCAACCTCTAAAGCTTATGCCTGAATAAACCTGATCCCCTCTGAAGCTTATTGCTGTTGAACTCAGGAAGGCTGCAATTCACAGAACAGTGACTTGGAACTAAGCCTGACTGCACTCAATGGATCTTACTCCTGAGTAAGCAGGCATAATATAGTACTGCTAGTTACATCTCAGTGGGATAGAAGCAGGTGTGCAAATAGATAATTTTATATTATTTAAATGATTTTATGACTGGATTATGAGAAGGCTGTAGAAGGCCATGTGTGCTACTTCATTTGTGAAATAACAAACAATATTTCCTTCTTCTCCCACCCAGTGCTTTACATCCACTTCTGCATTCCTGATGTTAGAACAACTTTTGCTAATCCTGATGAAGAAAAAGAAAAAAAGGTGTAAATTTACATTTTAAATTCATTTAAATGATAGAATCATCAAGACTACAGCAATAAAAAGTGAGCTTGCTTCTGGTGCCCTCAGGCCCTGGGTAGTTATTTGCAACCCTTCTCCTCGGACCGGGGCAGTGGGGACCTATACTTTGGTCCCAAGGTACATACCGAGTTTCACCACTGTGCATAGAGCAAGGCTGCTAGATATTCCTGCTACAAGGTAAGATGACTCTGTAACACCTATGTCCAAAGCGGTGCTCTTCTGATACTTTGTACTACAATTTCCACCACCCTCGCAAACATGCTGGTCAAGGAAGATACGAGTTGTAATCCAATGCATTTGGAGGGCATTAGGCTAAAGAAGACCCCCACATGATTCTGGAGGCAGATAACGCTCCCAGGGGAAAAGCTCCTTTCCCCCTACTCCACATAGCTCTCAAAGCATGGCTGGCTGGCTGGCCGGCCGGAGTCAAAAGAGGGATTCCGGGGCAGGTCGCAGGGCACAGATCCCTTCAGCGGCTACTGCTGCTGCTCTTACCCGGCTTGCCGATGGGCTGTGATTCTCGCAGCAGAAGCGGAGTGCGGTCCTCCTCTTCCTCACCCTCTTCAGGCTCCGGGGTCTGCATGGCAACCTTCAGCGTTAGGGCAGGCGCTAGCCTCGGCGCCCCCTCAGAACCCACCCGGCGAGTCTCCCGGCTTAGCACTAGAGTCAGCAATAAGCAAGCAGGCATGTGACGAACAGCCGGGCGGAAGTGTGGCCATTGTCGGGATTCACCGTTTACAGAACGAACTCGCGTTTTCGGCCATCTTTGATACTGGCACCAACCTTCCAGCGGATTGGTTGTTGAAGGAAACAGAGGGTTGCAGATCTTGCTTAAAAGCGCAACCGGTGGAAGCCTCTTCCCGGGTTCCCACTCAGGTTTGTCCGCAGGAGTTTTTCCAGCGGTGACTCACTCACGTACCTCATGTCATGGTACTCTGCTGTCGCGTTGAAGCCGTTGCAGAAACAGAAGGAACATCAGAATTCTTAAAAAGCCGTGCGGAATCTGCAGACCGATATTCGTATTCTCGGATGTGGCGCTCTGGCTATGTCATATTGCGAAAGTCTTCCATTTGTCCCCCAAAACCACGAATACCTGCGCTATTCAAAGATAGCCCGAAAGATCTGATGGATTAACCAATTGTGTATGACTTCAGCCAAGATGGCTAAGCAGGCATAAAAAGTGCTTTATGGATAGTGGCGTTTTCGAGTCTTTGTAACGCAACATCCTGTAACTTTACGACGGAGGTTGCATCAAAATCCTCAAGAGCGATCCACAAACGGTGAAATAATGTGCGGTAATGCCTGAGCATGTTGTCACATATATAGCCTACCCTTTTCTCTATGGAACCCAAGGTGGTGTCCATGGCCCACTTCTCCATTTTTATGCTTGCAACATCCCTGTGTGATAGGTTGGGCTGAGAGTAAATGACTGTCTCAAAGTCACTCAGTTACTTAGCACATGATGTATGGATTTTGGTCAACACCATTCAATCTAGCAAAAATTGCAGTATATTCTCTATTTTTTTCGGGGGAGGGCAGAGGAAAAGAATAGCACAAAATGCCTAATTTGGTGCCTGCATAGCCCCGGAACAGTGGAGGTTGGAAGATGCAAACTAGGCTACGGTAGAAATACAGCGTAAATTGGAAGCACACTGCATGTATATCATTACTGTGGCTCACCATGTGAGTTCCAGGTGAAGCTTTTACAATGTCATCACCTTGCCTCATTTACAGAAATTTACAAATAGTCTCAACATCATCTTCTCATAATACTGTGTTGCTATTTATTGCATTTCTCTACAACTTTCTGGAATCAACCAAGCTGGTTTACAAACATTCAGAAAACAAGTGTGATAAATATAAACACAGTAAAATGTTTAAACTTTGCAAGTCAATTGGATATAAACAGTTAAATTTAGAAGGTGCATCTTGACTCCTTTCCTGGGGCTTAGCATGGGGCTAAGTCCTTGACTGCATGCTCAGGCATGCAGTATACGCAGCCCTACAGTATATGGGCCTTTGTAAGTCAGAGTATCTTAAGAAGAGGCTTCAATTTTCCAACCACTTCATTTTTCCCTTATCACAGAAAAATGCTTCAATAAACCATATGCATCCACCATCCCCACCAATTGCTGCACAGTATCTTCTGGTTGCTAGCTCTTAGGAGAACTCAGTGTGGAAGCACCCCATAGCTCAATGCTGAGGAACTGGTGGCTCTCTAGGTATTGTTTAATTCCAGTTACCATCAGCCCTTAAAGGCTGGCTAATGGTGAAAGATGATGGAAGTAGTAGTCCACCAATATCTGGTGGTGCCCTGCCCTGCCCAATACAAGCCTGCACATCAGCAGCCAGGCAACTTCAAAGAGCCCACCTACAATGAGGAGCTTTTAATTTGATACCAAGTGTTTTCCTGGCAATAATCTTTTCTAAAAGTCACTTTATTATTCATAATATTAAAGTACCATGGGGGAGGGGTCCTTGCACATTTTGTAACTGATCTAATAAGGCTGTTACCCTCATAGGGTGAAAGGAGATTGTGGACCCTGTCTTGCTTTTCCACAAAGGAACTCCCACACCATCTGCTGCCATGGATGAGAAGAAGGGTTAAAAAGAACAAGGATGCTAATAAGATGGTGACTCTACCTATCTTCCTCTGCCATCTTTTGCAGAGCTTTAATGCTGCCAAAAGTCAAACTAATGGGTGTATTGATATTTCTTTTTGAATGTCTTGTTCTGTTGGAGTGCACAAAGACCTTGTCTTCACAGACAAGAAAAATGAGACATTTGCCATTGTTTGTAGAAGAGAACCAGCCCTTACCATTACGAAGGTACAGGAACTCTTTCAGACCTATTGGTTCACAGCTAGGGGGAATTGGGTGGGGCTGGGAGAAAGGAGCATGGTCATCTAAGGAACCCTGGAAATTAGCATTCATGGAGGGCCAGACTGGGGCTTCCAGCGGTTCTGCAGCTCTGCATTAAGAGGTGCTCCTGTGTCATGCCTGTTGATAAAGTAGTGGCGGAGGCCAGCCTGTAACAGTGCTGCTCCAGTTCCACAGCACCTGCCACTGTGCCACCCCCTTCATTAGGCACTTACCTCCCTCCATGGCATGGCCAACATGCTTCTGAATTCAGTCTATGGGGGAATGGCTGAGGTGGGGGGGAAGGGTACTGAGGGAAACTAGTGCCCCCCAGCTGTCTCTTTTTCCTTGAAAATTACACTTTTCCCCTTGGTATTTTGCAGCAGTTGGATGCTGACTGATTTCTATATCTGTATGCCTGCTGTCAAATGTCTAGTTGCTCTGTCCCAAGCAGTTTGGCTGGCAGAGGATTAGATTTTAAGCACTTTGATTTCTAAGAAAAATCCCCTGCTTCCCATGGCTTGACTCAGCTTGGTCATGTTACAGTATAATAGATCCACATTATTCCATTCCTGGAACTCATTTTATGAGACTTTTCCTTTGAAAGTTATAAACACATTATAATTAATGCTTATTCTATCTGTTAGTACAGTTGGGAGTAATATGTACAGTAGATCCTAAGGTTTTCACGGTATTCCTGTTTGGCTGAGTTCAAGTGATAAAGAATATTCTCACTTAGACTAAATTCCACAGTTTGATATTTATTACAGATACATCAGCAGATGGTGCTATTTCATTTAGCTTGCACTGTGAGAATACTTACAAGAACATACTGAAGTTTTCCCTCATTAGTAGAGTTCTAATTATTTTTCTTAATTTTAGCATGTGTGTTTGACTTGCTGTTCCATGATCACTGAAGTCTAATTTAATTGCAATGTTTGCTTTAGACAGAAGTATTATTTTACTTTTTTAAAATGTTAGTTGATTAAGTACCAGCTGATGGATTTAAGTGCTGTGCTTTGTGATAATTTAATCACATCCATTTGTAATTGCCAAATATCTTATTAAGTTAGATCAAATGATGCAGAAAGATTAACAAGACTATAATACTGGAATAACTAAGCTGTAGTGGAAACTCTGCCAGCAACATTAATTTATTAATTACTTGTCCTTTAGGGCATTCTGTACATAGGCCCTGTCCTGTATGGTTGGCAAGCCTGTATGCTAGGCAAATACAGGGCAAAATCCAAGAGTTAAGCAGGCCAAATTGTCCAGCACAAATGTTTCAGTCTAATGCGGGATTGGGCTAAGGCAGGGGTGGACAAAATATAGGCAATACTCAAACCACAGTATTACAAGCAACTAGGTGGCTACCAGAAGAGAGTGTGAGGTACAGCCAAGTTCAAAATATGGCAGAATAGTCAAGTAGAAATTTAGTGCAAAAAGCAGCATCATGCAGGAGTCCAGAGGTTGATAACATGGGGGTTCAGACAGAAAGCACAGTCAAGGAAACAGGCTGAGGGAAGGTGTTGCTATAACAGCCAATTGGAAACTTATAGGCAGGAGCTTCCGGAGTCCATCCGCGACTCAGTTGTATAATGTCAGAGGTGTGTGTATAATGTCATGAGGAGCCCTTTCCTCAGAAGAACCTCTTTTCAGTAAGCAGGCACTCCTTTGCTGGGCCTCCATTCTAGCCTGCATCTTCCAGTGCTGCAGTTCTCAGGGGCTAGTGGAGGCCTGGCATTCCCCTCTGCCTCAGAAGCAAAGCTCTTTGCCCACTGAGGAAGCAGATCTAAGGGCATCACCACTGAGAGGTCAGGACCATCTCGGATAGTACCAGGGTCATCTGCAGCAACCCGTTTCCTGGGTAATTATGGCTCTTAAATTTTGAGCTCCTCTTCTAATGAGAAATCCCAGGGGCAGTCACGACAGGTTGCATCTATGTTGGCAGCACCAAAGCTGAATATAAATAATCACAGACTGTTGTATATATAGCTGGGGGATAGAAGAGCAGAAAAATACAGGAAGTAGAATTTAAGAGGAAACCACACAGATGGTAGCGATTGATTGCTGCTGGGCAAGGTCATTAAATATCCACCCAGAAACCACAATCTTGTTTGGTAATTTGGCAAAGAAATGGACACAAATATGAAGACCTTGAGACTGCACCCACCAGAGCAGCACACAAAATATTGCTAAATCATGCAGAAAGTGAAGTTCACCAAGTCAAAATCCACTTAAAATGTTGTTTCCAGCTGTTTGGGCTCATTTGTTCTACTCTGAGTGCCTGTCTCAGGGACTGTTGTCACCACAGTCTCTCCTCACCCTGTGATCACAGATGGTTTTGTTTATCTGAAGTATTTTTGTCTCACTCTTCATCCAAAAAGCCTTCCAGAGGGGCTTACATATTATCAATTAAGTAAGGCCATCTCTGCTCACAGGTTTACAATCTGAACAAACAGGTAACACAAAGAAAAAGGGATGGG